TAGTCTTAGTGCTTTTATACAAAATCAACATTAAACATAGACACTAAATATAGAGTCAGGCACGTGTGTGTATGTGCGCACACTCTCTCTCTCTGGTTCTCTTTCTCTCATCAGCCCTTTTGGTACCATGCCATGGTTAGAAGAGCAGAATGAACAATTTCCAAAAGAAGAGTTTAACTTGGATCAATTCCTAAACATCAACACAAGCATTGCCCAAAAGTGCAAGATCTAAAAGGAGGCCACTGAGCTTAATGAGAGCACATTTGGCTGGAGACCAGAAGCCAAGAGATATAGAGAAAGAAAAATGCAGTGCAGTGATTTTATTAAATGGATTCAAGATGATGTTTTAACTTAGGTTTTACTATTTAAAAGGCTAAAAATGGCAGGGGCAACTATGCATATCCCACTATTAATGATAGTTGGGGTTTTTTGTTTTGTTTTGTTTGTTTTTTTTAATTCAAGCCACTATATTATAAACTGACTTTACTGAAGATGTAGGCCTAGGTGTCATGGGAGAAACATAGGGAAAGAAGGGTTGGTTTTATCTTTCATTTGATTTGCGTACAATCTAGCAGGAAGTAATGGCACTAAGAATAATGTAATAGTAACAAAGTGAATATTTATATAGCAGTTACTCTGTCAGTCAATGTTCTAAGTGTTCTAAATTTAGGAATACCTTATAGCAAACCTGTATGTTGGTGAGGTGGGCAGAACCTAAGTGTGATAATGCCATATATAATAAGAGACCCTAATTGCTCTTGGATTCTGCTTTTTATAGTAGGAAGGGAATGGGTGGTGGGTGGACATGGCCTTGACTTCACATAGTGTGTCTTCCCCCTCTACACATGTAACTTTGGACTTTCCCTGGAACTCTCTGCTGTTTGATTTTCACACCCATTAATAATACCAGCCTTGCATCTTTTTAAATGCATGTTAAAGATGTGTATAAAACTTCATTTATGGTTATCTTTCCATTTAAAAAAGTTTTATTATCCGTTAGGTAAGGGGATTATGGGAACATTAATAAAGAAGGTGATGGTGGGTTTCCGTATTTCAGTACAACAAATGGAAGACAAAATTACATGAAAGAAGGACCATCAGGTGGTAAGAAGTGGAAGACAGTGTGCTCCTTATAGTGAAGAGTTCATTTTAATTGTGGTAAAAGGGATAGAAGGAAGAAGGGTGAGCATTTAATCTGGAAAAATAAGCTTATTATCTTGGGCTCCTTAGATCAGGGGTTGACAAACAACTGCCTGTTTCTGTACAGCTCAAGGACTATGGGTGGTTTTGTATTTTTAAATGATTGAGAAAATGGGAGGAAGACAGATGGTGTGTGATATATAGAAGTTATGTAGAACTTATGTTTCATTGCCTGTACGTGAAGCATTATTGGTACATGGCCACACTAATTCATTTACAGGTGACAGAGAATGTACAACCTGCAAAGCCCAATTATTTAGTATTATTTCCTTACAGGAAAAGGTTGTTCACCCCTACCTTAGTTATAATGCTTATTTTTTAAATTGTTTTAATTCTAGTATACTTAACATCTCATTATACTGGTTTCAGATGTACAATACAGTGGCACACAGTTTTGTGTATTATTCAGTTCTCATCAAGAAAGTGTCCTCTTCATCCCCTTCACCTGTTTCACCCATCCCCCACCTGCCTACCCTATGTGGACCATCAGTTTGTAGTTTGTTTTTTGTTTTTTTAATCCTGCAGTTCATCATCTCTGATGGCAAAAAATGTAAACAGCCCTATTTTGTAGTCTAGGAATATATACCAAACAAGCCGCTTCTCTTTTTCAGTGTCTCTGACGTGCATGTTGCTGGACAGATGAAAGCACACCTTGTTCAGGTCTCAGAATGGCTCTGTGGCATCACTGGCTTGGGTCTCATGACTCCCGTTTGAATCCAGGTTCTTATTCACCCTACCTACTGCTTGCTGTTGTGGGCCACAGGGTGAACAGTGTTTTGGTTTACTTTCCAATTATATGTAGTCTCCAGTGATATGTAGTTCCACTATGGGATAGAATCTGTTTAGACATTACCTTTTACTTTGTGTTTCCTCAGTTGTTATTTTAACTTTCTTTTCCCCCAAGTAAAACTCCGTTCATTAAATCTAATAGTTATAGAACATATTGCTTAGATAGAAGTCAATAAGAAAGAGAAATAGAATTAAAATTTTATTGCAAAAGCTTTCTCTTCAATGTGGTTAACAACCCTATCTGTCACACCACACCCCTCTTTGAAAACTAGATGTCTGGCTGATTCTGATTTGCTCTGAAAATCATTTTGTGTAGCAATTTCTTTTGTCTGTAATCTTGATTCATAGCCTTATGAATTATTTTATTGCTCTATTTTCATAATAGCTCTTAGGCAACCAATCATCATGCATGATACTGTGTTTCATTATGACTCAGTGGCATCCAGATGTCTATACCTCATGTTGTTGCCTTTTAGACATATTTTAAAATAAAGTTCCCATAAAATAGTTGCATTCATTTGTGCAGTAAATTTTAAATTTTTCTTCATATGCCAGTCAAACTTTTACGTGAATACAGAAATACTTGTTATCCCTTTTCATAGAGCTGAATGAACATCTTAAAAGTGGTTGTGGTTTTGAATTGATTGAAAAGGAGATGGTAAACAGGATTTTTAAGACATTCTGTGATACACAGACACACACTATATAAAAGTAAGATTTCTCTTATTGGCCAGTTTTATAAGTAATATAAGAACAAAGTACACAGGTTACTATCCAAGCTATGTGTGTGTTTAGAGTAAGTGAATGCACTTAGGTAAATAATTTTTTTTTTATTCTTAGCAATACCCAAATTAAATATTGGATAACATGTATGGACACGACACAATGTTAACACAGAGGTCAGCCTTCTTAAAAGGGGCCTTGCATCACAACTACCCAATGAGCCTTTTAAAAATACATACACTTCATCCTGGATCTGCTGAATCCGAATCTTTGAAGGGGCCACACGTGTGTCAGAAAAACCCTCGGTAGTTCTGATCCCCACATTTGGTCGAGAACCATGGGTCTGGAAACATTTTTAGGTAACAGGCAAAAAAGGTAGCATCATCAAAACATCACTGAATTTGTTAATAACGTGGTCTTTAGGGCACTGTGTACCACATGCCCCTGCATTTTCAGATGAAATCTCAGAATGAATTAAAACTGCATTTTCCTGTAGCAATTCTAAGAAGTGTTTTGTGGTAAAGAAAACCAATATACTTGACTGTTCCTTCCCCCACTCCCTCCTTTTGGTGATCAGGATTCCCTGGAGCAAATATATAGTTCAGTTTTAAGGCTGTGTGTCCTGGATATCTGTGGTCTAGTTTTTTCTAATTCAACAAGAATTTATTGGGCCCCCTTCTATCTACTGAATTCATAATGGGCCCTGGGAATGCTAGTAATTAACAAAACAGTCTGGAGCTTACAGTCTTTTGGATGAGACAGATGTGAAGCCAGTAAAAATTTCAGTAAGTGTTCCCTGATCTAGATATTGTAAACCTATTTTTGAGTATTGATTTATATATTTTCCCCTCAGTATTAACCAGAGCTGAGCCATGGAAACGTTTTATGTAACATATAGCTGCAAACACACACCTATCTATATTTATTTTGTATGTACATGGGTTTCTGTGTGTACGTTATGTTTTACATAAACAGTACAAATATATATCCTGCTTGTCATATAGACATACATGCAGTGTATATATACATATAGTGTGTGTATCTATATATCCTATTTTCTATTTATACGACTACATTATTTTAGTCAGCACCACACCTTTGGGGATGACTTGGAATATATGCTTTCCCACATACATGCACACACCTGCCCATGCACATGAGATGAAGTTGGATTCCAATTATCAACATTACATTTTAGCCCCTTTTCTCTAATACATTTTTGTTATGTAACCATTAGGTAAAAATTACAATTAAGTAAACCATGCTTTATATTTGGTAGCATTTCGGTCCATTTCTTTACTTTTTTTTAAAAAAAGGATATTTTTGTTTTATCTCTTTGAATGCAAGGAACATTTGGGGACAGTTTTTCAGTGGTGAGATTGAGCTTGAAAGTCATAAAAATCTGTGACTCTTTATTTGCAAATAAGAGAAAGCGTTTCTGTTTCTCTTCTCTTCCTTGAAAAAGAGGGGCATTTTTATTGTCACAAACAACTTCAGCATGTTTTGTATGTAATTTTTTTTTTTTCACAGATGGTGCTTTCCTAGGACAACATTTAATTGCCCTTACAACTTTTTTTTAAAGCTACCAAATGGTTTAACTGGGGTCACTATTTTTGAGTTAAGTGTTGGCATGCTAATCATCTTGGAAAGTTGCAGGACTGAGATTTTGGAATGTAACTCTCAGCCATCAGACACAAACAGAGACACAGTGTATACTGGTAGAGGAATTGTGGAGAAAGAAACAATGGGTGCTTCTTCGAGAACTGGCTGTGTTTTCAGATGGCACAACACTCAACATCACACCCATGCTGTGTGGCTGCCTTGGACCACCTAACAGCTCAGGATTGTAATGGAGTCCCTGAAATCAATAAAGATGACCTTTTAAATGAGAAAACCAGTGGAAAGTTATATTTTTCTTTCTTTTTAATGCACACCCTGGATAGTGCAGTTAAATTACATGGTGGAAGGATATTATATTGATGTCCCTGTTGGAAAGAGTTTTCAATCTTATCAGTTGTCTTTCAAATAATATTCTAAAGATTTGCATTTGCCCATGCAATGCACGGCAGCAGAGTGGATTAAGTTAGCTCCAAAGCACTTACCATTGTCTATGAGCCAGAGAAGCAGCAAGGATTCTGATTGGCATTATTATTTATTATTTGTGAATGCTGATGGTGCATTTTCATGGCGGAGTCCTTTCTATGCTTATTGGCATTCATAAATGAAAAGGCTCTGCTTAGCTGACTATTTAATTGGTAATTTAATTTCCCTAATAACTTTCTTTACAGGACCTGGATTTTGAAGCCAAAACAAGTTACACACTCCGGATAGAAGCTGCAAACAAAGATGCCGACCCTCGCTTTCTAAGCCTGGGACCATTCAGCGACACGACAACAGTGAAGATAATTGTGGAGGATGTGGACGAGCCCCCCGTGTTTTCCTCACCTTTGTACCCCATGGAGGTGTCAGAAGCTACCCAAGTTGGAAATATCATTGGCACTGTAGCAGCTCATGACCCAGATTCTTCCAACAGCCCTGTGAGGTGAAAGCTCATTTCTCTTCTTTCTGGCAGTTTGCAACAATGTGCTTTATTCACAACACAAGTTTCTATATTGCGATGCTTTTGATTCATAGCAAATGAAGACCAGTTTTGTCTCTGTATTGAGCCATAGCAGCGGAAGTGAAACAGGATCAGAACAACTCGACATTTTACTAATTTAAAAATGTTTCACCTGATTATCCAAGGCCATTATTATGTAGCGATATTCTTAGGCACTCATTATCATCCACAAGCCATAGCTGATGTTCCTATTGAACCAATTATCCTGAGCTCTTTCAAAGCCAACTGTGTTCAAAGATGAAGTGATGCATGTCCTCGTTGTAAGATACAGACATCTATGAGAAAGCTCATTTTATAAACAATTAAAATTAGGGATTAACTTTTAAACAAATCATATTTTTTACACACTGCCCTATTTGGATAGCATATTTTTTAAGCTTATTATTTCCACTTACAAAAAGACAAATAATACTGTATCTATATATAAGGACTATTTTTCAAATGTCTTATCCGTAGTCCTGTACCAAGACTAGACACATGGTTCTAAGCAACCGATCTCTTTACGACCAACAGAAAGATGATAGGTAAGCACTTTAGAATACCACAACAGTTTCACACTTTGTTTTACTTCTAATGTACAATGTGATATCGACATGAATGTTTTTGCGTATGTGTGTGTTAGTGTATATGCACATGAGACATCTTTTTAGGTGAATAGTCTACAGAGAATATGCTTGAAATCACTTTGTATTACATGTCTTAATTTGCACTCATAAGTAAAACTTTTAATGGGACGTTTTGGATTTTGGGTACAAAGTCTAATAAAGTACAAAAATCAGTGGATGTTTATATTCAGATATATTCAATTAAAAGCTAACCACAGCTTTTTAGATTTAACTGCTATCTGGCAATGCTAAGTGCTTTTGAGGTAACTTCTGAGCTAAGTTTGGACATTGACAACAAAACGTTATAAAAAGTATTTGTAATTTAGACAATAATTCTTAGTTAAGAAAAGCATAATCTTTTACCTCCCTAAAATAATAAACTTATTTAGACATATGTAACTGCTTTGCTTTGCTTCTCTTTTGTCTGACATTAGTATCATAGTCTAATGAAGAATTTGCATAAAATAATTGTTCAAAAATGAAGTCATACTCATCATTTCCCTATCTACGTGATAAATTCAGGTTATATAGATGGCTATATTATTTTTAACACAGTGATCATAAATTATTCCTAAGAATATAAGCTTCCGTGTGATAGAACATTTGAGAGTCACAAATGTACCAGAGAGAACAAGCCTTCCCCTTCTCCCTGTCATAGCCCAGCCTTCATCGTCAAAACAGTTTCCTGACTTAAGCTCAGCTCCATCCAGCGAGTCTTGCTGACTCGCGGACACTTGAATTCGGGTTTTGTTATAGCATCACATCTCTTACTGAAACACGTAAGTCTCCTCCCCTTATGATCAGACACAACGTGATTGTATGCATAGATCAGCTACTGGGAGTAGTCTGACTTCTGCTTAAATCATTTAATTTCATGGGGAGAAAGAGAATTCTTTCATGAAATTGGGGATATAAAAAAAGGAGACACTGATCCATAACATAATTCAGTACTTGAATGAGAGAAGATAAGAAATCTTGTTTCTTCTTTTTTCCTTTACCCGTTTCCTGTGTATCATCCTGTGAAAGCCTCTGACATAAATATTTCACTTCTTGTAGTATTTTATTTGAAACAACGCAGCATTATATAATAATGTGGGGAGGAAGGAAGAGTAGGATCAAGCAGATAAGTGCCTTGAGTTAGAGATGAAGTGGCCTCCAAGTCTCCTCCCTGATGCACAGAGATGGAAGGGTCAGAAGTGAACTCTCTTGATTTTGGAGGTAAAGATCTCTTGTGGCTTTTATCAATGAAAGAAGCTAGCCAATAATTTATTTTTACCTCATTTTCATTTTCTTAATGCTAATGAAGGTGACCCGAAAAGTTCAAGTTAGTACTAACTTATATCAGATTTTTAAACAATTTTTTAAAAGATTTTATTTATTATTTATTTGACAGACAGAGAGCACAAGTAGGCAGAGAGGCAGGCAGAGAGAGAGAGAGGAGGAAGCAGGCTACCCGCTGAGTAGAGAGCCCGATGCGGGGGCTCAATCCCAGGACCCTGGGATCATCACCCGAGCAGAAGGCAGAGGTTTAACCCACTGAGCCACCCAGTCTCCCCATTATATCAGTTTTTGAGCCTAAGTCTCACAAAGGGGTACAACCTTTGTTCAAAGGGACTAAAATATTGTTGGTGTGTGTATATATATATATTCTTTTTGTTTTTTAAATTAATTTCGTGACTTAATATTTACCACTTGTATTCTTGAAACATTTTTATACTATTTTTTTAAGGTCACTCAGTCATTCATGGCTGATTTTTTTTTCTGGGTTTATCTTTGATATATTTCTCCTTTCCTATTTATTTGTGATAGTGTTTAGGAGGCCAGGTTCCTCATCTTGTAGTTTGATGAGTAGGTATGCATGCCTGCACATTTTCTATAAGACTGGTTCTCTTTTCAACACTGCTATTTGCCGAGTGACCTAGGGGATGCCCCTTAGCCAGCTAAGTTTCTGTCTGCCCAGTAAAAAGGAAAGGCAAACCCTATCCCTGATTTATCCCAAGTTTTTTGAAAATTAAATGATAAAGGGAACTAATGATTTTAAGTGAGAATCATGACTTAAGTATTAGAAAGTATTATCATTGTGCATTGCTATTATTATAGTTTATTGGGTTTCATCCCATTTTTGTTTCAAGGTCAGTAAGTCAGTGAAAGGAGGCATACTTTACAAGCAACTGTATTGGCGATCTGTATTGTGTTTTGTATTCACATGTATTCCAAAATATAGATGATATTATGTAGTTTAATGGATACAAATGTGTGTTTGCATTGGGCATTCAAGTACTATCAAAATGTAAACCCTCCTTCAACAAATGCCAGTGGATGGGCAGGGGACATGGTCTGCTGAGATCCTAGGATAAATGAATTTTCAGATTGCGATAGAACCCGCAGAGTCTTAGGGTTATGAGTTTTGTGCTCACACCTTTAGAAATATTGGGATTCTTAGAGGAATGGAAAAGTAGTATTTGTTTCATTGTAATGGCTTAAAATTAGGCCAATAGTATTTGAGTTGTAAACCAGGATGGGAAGTTGGATAATTAATATTTAAATTTATTGACTTTTTTTGTAGTATAATATTAAAATCAAGCATATGCTATTTATAATTGGAATATTTACCAATATGTGGAGTGAGAGAGTAGAATTCTAGAAAGAAATACATTTACTTTCCTCCAGCAAGGCAAAATTGAGATCCTTTTCTCATATGATCTCTGCCTTGCTCAGCACTTTTTATTTTTACCTACTTTTGATGCCAGCCAAAGCTATGAGTAACTCTTCTCTGTGCATCTGCCCTTCCTTTAAAAGAGGACTGAGGCACCTATGTCACCATAAAGCATTTTGGCCACCGAGAAGTATAGTAGCAGTAGGTGGAAAGATTAAATGAACTCAGAGCCCGGTGCTTAGCCAGAATATAACGCCATTGTGAGCTGTTATATCTTCATGATCGCTTGTCTAGCATCCAGGTGTGTTATGTCCCCCACCATGTCATATATACATTATCTTCCTCTTCCCGTATAGAAACTGGAAGCCAAAAGTGGGAATTAGATGGTAGTTGAGATTACTTAGCCAGGGGGGGAAAAAAAAAAAGAGGAGGCTCTTTCAAAAGCAAAAGTAGGTAATTGAGGTCTAGCGATCTTTGGGCTACGTTTATGTTTTCATAGTTGCTTAATGTTTCATGTAAATATTTACCCCAAATAATACCAAATATCAGGGCTTAGCTATTGAACTTCGAAGGATGGCTGATGTTCTGCTGATGATTTTGATCGTCTTTCTAAGGGGTAGAAAGTTCCCACCTGTGTTTCTCGTCAGTGAGGACAGATACTGTGGGAGCAGCCTAGAGTCTAGAGCACTCTTCATTCCTCATGTCAGCGCTGGGAGACAGAGCAGAGCAACAACACACATTTATTAAGAACCTGCTTTGGGCCCAGTGCTGCGGAGAATATTGACGGGAAAAACAGAGATGAATAAAACATGTCCTCTGACCTCAAGGAACTTCCAATCTGCTTGAAGACATAAGATCCCAGAAAAGTTAAACACAGTGAGGGGAGAAAGCGTCAGAACTATAACATGGCCAATTGTGAGATAAATTGCAATCACTCCGAGCTCACTGGACAGGAGCCTTCATTTGCAGGAGAGAGAGCATCAACAGGACTTTGAGGGGTGGCACGATTTGGACAAACCAAGAAAACATTATGCAAAGTCTGTTTATGTTTTATTTAGTTATAGCCTAAGAGTCTAGTGCTGTTTTATGAAATCAGCAGATTGACTTCCATAGACAGCACAAGCCCAAAATCCCTATGCTAAAAATAGCCAATGAATTGAAACATGATATTACTACAAATAAGATCAGATGTGAAGAGGGTTTCATAAAAATTAATGGGGATTATTTTAAGCATTTCCAGCAATTTAAATACAGAACTACATTTGTATTTATGCTCAAGGATACCACAATAATAATACTTACCTGCAGGCTTTTTTGGCACTCCTGGTCTTGTATGTTCTCAGATCAAAGGTGATAAAATAGTATCAGATATTACATTATGTAGTGTGACTAGTAAGAACACATTTGGATGTTTGAATAATTCAGTGTGTAGTTTTTAAAGGAGCTGGTATGCATGCATACATTTGTACCTATTACTTTAATCTAAATTATTTGCTACTTCTTACTATTTGATTTTCTAAGAAACTTAGCCAGTAACATAGAGAAAAACAGTGGTTCATGTGAACAATAGCAGAAATCGATTCCATCAGGAAGACATGAGCTATAATCCATTTCAAAATGCTGCCCAATTTAATGTAACTATCACTAAAAATGAAAAAAAA